TTTGTCCTTTAACTCTTTGCATTTGAGTTTAGAATTGTCGTGGGCGTGTTTCAAACAGGTTGGTTGAGCTTTTGTCCCAACTCTTGTTGCCCAGATTTTTAGGGATCCGCTCGAGCAGGTCTTCTTGCGCTTGAGCAGAGTTTGCATACCTTCAGTAGTTTGTTCGTCTGTAAAATACAGCAGATGTGTTTTTCACGCTCAAGCAGATTTCCTTACACTCGAGTGGGTCACGCTCGAGCGGACCCTTTTGCGCTCGAGCGGGTGTTCAATGTCTGTAAAAATACTGGGTGAGGGTAATCTACGCTCTAGCGGGTTTCTCTTTGCGCTCCAGTGGGTCCAGTTTTTTGTGCTTAACGCTCGAACGTCTTATTTTCCGCTCAAGCGGACTAGTCGTATATCAGTTGGCAGCTGGGTCATTTTAGATCACTTTTTTAACTCTCACTCTCTCTCTTACTTTTCAAAAACCGATTTTGAGAGCTTCTCTCACTACATTTCACCTTCTCTTTTAGGTTTGATCTAGTTCTAGTGTGTTTCTAGCCTAGTCCCTTTGTAAAAAGGGTTGTGCTTGGTGTGAGCTTCATTTTGATCCGAAAATCCCTTGGTTTGGAGCACTTCGAGTTTTCTTCAACTTCTCCATTTAGTCTCCGAATTTGAGGTAGGGATAACTACTCATTTGTATGGTCTTTGACATAAACTATTGGTTATTTTGATGTAATGTTGAAGTTGGGTAATTTTGGGTGTTAGGGTTTCAAAATGAATAAAGAGGGATTTGGTTATTTTGACTCATAAATGTGTATCTTGGGTCTTAAATTGATGGTATTGATGTTGTTGATAATATTTGGACTTTTGGGTCAATGTTAAGGAAAGGGGGAAAATGTCATGTTTGGATATATTTGGGTCATTAGTGTAATTAATGACATTTATTATGGAAATATGAAATTGAGTTGGGAATAATGAAATTGGCTCATTATGAGGTAGAATGGTGGAGTTGGATTCATTAATCACTCACCTTTGGAATTATTGATGATTTATATGTTGGTGCATTTATTATCTGTTTAGAAATAACTGCTTTGGGCTATCGGTGAAGGATAGTCTTGATTGTTGTAGACACTGCATGATGATTAGGTGAATTAAAACTAACCAATTTGAGTATGTCATTGAGTATGACGGTTGAAATAATACAACGAATATGTGTATTGATTGGTCATTGTATATGATGAGTATTTGAATGCATGGGTGCCGAATCCCGCGGATGAAATTTTCGTAAAATGGCAATTCGAAAATAATTATACATGGGTGTCGAATCCCGCGGATGAAATTTTCGTAAAATGACAATTAAAAAATAATTCTACATGGGTGTCGAGTCCCGCGGATGAAATTTCTGTAAAATGGCCACAAGAAAATAATTATACATGGGTGCCGAATCCCGCGGACGCAAATTCCGTAAAATGGCAATTTGTAGTATTGTTGGCATGGGATGTAGTCTCATTTAAGTTGTTTGGCCAGGTTTTGAGCCGTGTTTACAAGATGAGATTTTGTTAAGTAAAGGACTATGGAACTGGATTATATTGTATGTTGGTTTATTTGAGTTAAACATTTATCAAGTGCTAATGTTTTAGTTATTGCTCATATTATGTTTAGCATATCTCTACTGGGCGTTGGCTCACCCTTTTTGGGACATCATTTTCAGGTGCAGGTGACATGCCACCTCCAAGGACGTAGCTTGGGAGGCTTAGTGGCTGAGAGACCGTTTTGATTACTTTTGTATTACATGTATATCTAGCCAAGGGCTTATTTTGTGTAGAGTTAGTACTTTCATTTTTGTAACCAAGTGTTGACTTGGAAAGTTGTAAGCCCGTAGGGCATTTACTTTTGTTGTCAACATATAATACATTCTGTAAGAATACTCTGATTTATGAAATGTGATATCTCTTTCTTGTATCATGGGTGCCTGTTTTTGGGTTTATTTTGAGGGCGTTACAAAATTGGTCCAGAGAAAATTAGTTTACAGAAATTTCAAATTTCTCTAGCCTCCTTAGCCTTTCATGGACTCTCTAGAGAAATTTCAAATTTCTCAGCCTTCCATATACTTCCCACTCTCCAAAGAAATTTCTCTGTGGCTTCTTTATCTCATCATTAAGATTGTTTGGTGAAATATTACCCATGTTCCAAAGCTAATCCATCTTGACTTGAATTTTACTGTTATTAGGTTTGTGATTTTGGGTTATCTCAAATGAAACACAGCACATTTCTTTCTTTAAGGTCAACTGCAGGGACGGTAAACAGTACTTGTGAATTTGTAATTTAGCCCTATTCCTCTGCTGCATGCTTATATTTTGAGATTGAAATACTCTGTTGCAGATTGAAGTTCTTCGAAGCTATACACTTTAAGGGATTGAGCTATAATGGTTATACTCGCCAAGAACTCCTTGGATTCTTCCTCCACTGTCATCCCCAATTTGAATCTCAAATCGACGATTCTCACACTTGACACTTCAGAGAAATTTTAGACTCAACACTCCAGAGAAATTTGGCTTCACCTATCTTCCCACAAAATTATCTCTCAAGAGAAATTTTAAATTTCTCTGCCTTTCCACAACATTACCTCTCCAGCAAAATTTTGAAATTTCTCTAGATCAACCTAGAGAAATTTCAGTTCAAACCCAGAGAATTTCTCTGGGAATATATCCACACCTGATATAGATTCCACAATGGAGTTGTCTAATATATTGCCATTTCTGTCTACCTTTTCCACTTGTAAAGCCCCCTTTACTGATTCAGAGATCCTACCAAGAGGACTTGAATATGTATCTGCCAAAACCTTATTCCTCTTTGTCAAATTTGAAGCGGGATTTTTATGATGTCTATAAATTGGAAGGAAGGAAAAGACTGGTATACTACTTGGACAGCACCAGCAACGGGAAATCCATGTGATGTCTATGGATTTTGTGAAACTTTCGGGGTTTGCAACAACAATAATACTCCAATATGTCAACGCTTGAAAGGGTTTGTACCCAATTCAGCTGAGGAATAGAGCAAAGGAAATTAGACAGCTGGGTACGAAGACGATGGCGGTGTGGTGGATGTGAGGGCGGTGGGGGAGATGAAGAGGTCGGTGGACCTGAAGGAGTTGAAAGGAGATCACAATCGCTGCTACGCAGCTCTCGTCTTCGCCTATCGCCGCCCGTCCCTCCGCGCACGTCGACACAATCTCTAGAAGTTTCAGCAATTTCCCGATCATCGACGCAATTGTGTTCGAATCGGAGAAGAAGATCCTGAGCGGCGACGCCATTGACGGTGAAGGTGAAGCTCAATCGGCTGGAGAATGAAGTCAAGGGTGAGGAACAAGAGTTGATCTAGACAGGTTTGAGAATAGAGAAGTTTAGAGAGAGAGAGAGAGAGAGAGAGAGATGAGTTTTGATTTGGTAAGGTCAAATTTCTCTGATATATGTTTAGGGACCTTTAGACATCAAAAAATAATTTTGTGCATCTCTTTCATTATGAAAAGTAGGAGAGGGACCCTAGACTAATTTTTTCGTTTTTTAAAACAATTTTAAATTCTGGTAATTTTTGTCTGATTGTTTAAATACAATGTTTTTTTTTATAACTTATTAATCATAAATAATTTCAATAAATTGAAAAATAACAATTTTCTAAAAATTGGAGAAGAGGTATTTTTAATTATCAATTTTTAACTGACAATAACTTAATACTAAACAGGCCCAATACAAACGAGATATTCGGATTGACGGGCCATCTTGAAAGTGGAGCAATTCAACGCGTTGAAAGGCTCTCCAATATGGACCAATTTTAGTTTTCAGCCCATAACCAGTATTCACAGAACCGTTGATGCCAATACTCATTAGGGTTAACTATAGCAAGACCCTTTAAATTGTTCGGGAATATATTGAACCTTTTAATTTTGAAAATCGTACAAAAATTTCATTTTAAAGGTAGTTTGAATGGGGGTGAAAATGGTACGTTTTCGTAGTTGACAGGGCAAAATGTACGAGTTTATATATAAGAAAAGCAAAGTAATATTCAATAATAGTTAAAGGAGTATTGTGTAATTAATTACACACCAAATAATATTTATCTTATATATTCATATAATAAATGTTACGTGTATGTGTGGTGCCGCCATATTTAATATATAGTAAACCCATTCATACAAATTTCATGGAAAGTTAAAGGTTGTGTTTGGTTGAGTTTTGTAAATATAATTTGAGAATATGAGTTGTATTTTGAGTTTGTGAGTTGTGAAATTATGATTTGAGTGTAAAAAATTTGTTTGGTTATGATTTTTGAATAGAGTGTTGAATTGAGCGTGGAATAGAGTTTTGAAAGTTTGACTTGACATGTGAAATAAGAAAATTTGTTTAGTTATGAGTTTTGAAAAGAGTTTTCAAAACTTAATTCAAATTGTTATAACTCATAACAAAATACATTACTTTCACACTATTGAAAATTTTGATCAACACTCATAACTAAACTCTTTTTAAAATTCAATTAAAAAAAATTATTATTAACAGAAAATAACATTAATCAATTTTTTAATTGAAATACTACAAAGGAAATAATTTTTTTTCAAAATAAATATTCAAACAATTTAAATCATAAATATTTAAATAATCTAAAAAATTTAATAAGTAAAAAAATAAAATAAATATTCAAAAATTTTAAATCGTAAAAATTTAAATAATTTAAATATTCAAAAATTTTAAATAATTTAAAATGTTAATATTTCAAATTTAAAAACAACTCTACACTTAAATCGTAACCAAACACATAAAACAAAACTCAATTAAGAAATTATTTTTAAAACTCATAACCAAATACATAATTCGAAACTCCATACTACTTTCACAATTCTACATTCAAATCGTAACCAAATACATAACAAAAAAATTAAAATATTTAAAAATATTTTTATAAAATAGAGTTTGAATTTATTTTTATAAAATATTTTAAAATTTAAAAAATTAAAAACATCAACTAATCATGGTTGTATCTTGTTTTTTTCCCTGAATTTAGTTGTTATATTATTGCATCAGGTGAAAGGAGAACCCAATGTTTCCTACATCTGTTCTAGATACTACCGCGCTCCAGAACTCATATTCGGTGCCACTGAATATACGACTGCTATAGATATATGGTCTACAGGTTGTGTGATGGCTGAATTACTTCTTGGACAGGTAGTTCGTCTGATATGCGTGTTTTCTGTATCATTGATATGCATGTGACTGAACAGCTTCTTATACAGCCATTGTTTCCTGGAGAGAGCGGAGTTGATCAGTTAGTTGAGATTATCAAGGTATTTATAATCTCATCTGTTTTCTATTCATCTGGCACTGAAAATTTTATCAGAATTTGAGGCATTGGCTTGAATATTGAGTCAGTTGTCAATCACTAGTAGATGCAAAACTGATTGATAGACACAGTTTTTAGAAATTCAAAACCAAAACATTAAGTATTGGTTCCATGTTTTAGATTTCTGCTTCATATTTTCATCAACCTAGTTATGAAATTGATTCCTGAAATTTTGTCTTCCTTGGATAAATGTCTTTTTCAAAAGTGGATATTTCTGTTGATGTTTGTTCACTAACGTCAAGCATTGCAAATTTGTAACCTCATATGAGATTTTCATCTTATATGTGTATTTAAAAAAGGAAACAAGGAAAAATAGACTTCTATTGTTGTAAGTACAGAAGACAGAAACATATAATGCTTAAGCTTGGAATATTCTAACAAATAGATTGCATCATCTTTCATTTATTAAAATTCTGAAAACAGAGATCTTTATGGAACTATCCCCCATGGAAATAAAGGATAATGATTGTTACACAGGTTTTGGGAACACCTAACAGGGAGGAGATAAAATGCACGAATCCAAACTATACTGAATTTAAGTTCCCTCAGATAAAGCCTCATCCATGGCACAAGGTATACCCAATTTATTTTCCCTTTTTCTTCACTTTTATATGATGTTTATAATAAATTATCTTTAGAAGTTAAAAATGTCTTCTACATAAATGATAGTCATATTTGGGTGGAGCTAAAGTTTGGAAGTTAG